TTGCAGCAGGTAGTCTTGGGCTCTCTTGATGTTGGTTGCAAGCCAGTCCCAGGGAACAGCATATCCGACTACCAACATTAGTCGCCTGTCTGCTAATATTCATAGAAACTTCATACTGTAGAATGCACCAGCCTTCATCTCCATATTCTCCACCAATCCGGTGTAGTTGAAAGCCCCAGTTGTGCTGTTCATCCAGTTGCCGATGTCGCCTATACCATCAAGCATTAGCCATTGCAATGAGCACAATTGCAAGCAAGCACAACAATCAATTGCTCTGACACTCATAGATCTACACGTCTCCAAGAAATGGAACATACGCACCCTGCATCAATTGACCCATCTTATCTTCAATAGTCATGCGACTGAGAAGATCAGAGACTCGCGCCTCCACAGGCGCATGGGGATTCTTGTACAGAGGTCTGGAGACATTCTGCACAGCCAGAGCCCCAGACCCAAGCTGAAGGAGCAAAAGCGCCTTTGCGAAAAGACCGGCCACCATGATGGCTAAGTGAAGAGCCAATGATCTGCTCTTCCAGCTCCTTGGGTACGAGCGAGCTTATGCAGGTAGACAAGCAGGCAGATATTGGGGGAAAGGACAGAAGAGGAAGCTCAAGGGGGAGATCCCCCTCGGTATTTAACATCATGCAGCCAGCATATGATGTCTAGCGTGCAGACCAAGCGGAGCTCCCGACAACCAGAAAAGAAAAACAAGAAAAGGAAGAAATTCAGCGATCAGACTAAGGATTGCCATCGGCAGCGACGGACAAGGACTCCGTTTAATTTAGGCTGTGCTCATGCGATCCATTCGGAGATGAGGCCAGTACCCATGGGGCCCGGTAAGTAGTGTTGGGGAGCGTGGAGAAGCAGCAACGAATGAGGGAGCATGATGCATGAATCGGAAGCTGAAGGCGAGCCAGCTGACTGGATATTGGTCAAGTCCCACGATACTTTAGATTGGCAGTCGATGGAGTAATTTCCCAGGATGGGAGGTGTACTCCAGGAGGAGCACGGGTAAATTCAGGACGATGGCAAGAAGGAGAGGGGTAAGCAATCTTGGGAAATGACTCGGAGATGATCCATGCAGCAGACTAACAGCTGCTAGTTAGCCCTAGTTGGCCAGGGTGCAGGGGATTCGGTGCGGACTTGCCGGCTGCTTGCTGCCCTTTCTCCACCTATTGTCGTCTTTCCTCGGACCAGCAGGCCTGCAAAGTGCAAAGTGCAAGGATGGAACTAAGGCCCGTCCCGATATTGATGGAATGCCCGCGGGGTGGGCCAGCTGAAGAAAGCCTTGGATATGGGTTCCACCTGTTGGACACTAGCAAGTCTCTAACACAAATTAAATATTGTCACTGGCCTCGAGCTACCGGAAATACAACACACATTCGCTTCTGAAATTCTATTAAACAACTATATAGTCGAAGAATGCTAATGCTCGCAGTGGTATGAGACAGCCTCCACCCCCGAATTATCTATAGGAAAACAAACGTATGTACTAACATTCGGTGTGAGCCAGTCACCGTCAAAAGCTCAAATTACGCCCGCGTACCTGCGCCGGTACTCTGCCCGTCTTGGTTCCCCTGCGACTCGACACCGTCTTCACCTTCATTCTCTCGGATGCTCGTCGTAGCCTCCGACCCTCTGTTCGCCCCCGGTTTGTGGAGAACGCCACCCAGCCAGGCGAGACCACCACTCCACGAGTCACTCAGACTGCGAAGCCGCGAGAGTGAGGTGGTGTTGTCTTCATGCTGGTTGATGGGACCGTCCTCCGAATCAACAGCAGGTGTGAGATCCCCAGTGCTTACTGGAGCAGTAGCAAGGGCACCAGTCCCTGGAAGCCGACTGTGGGAGAGCGGGAATCCAAGGTCATGAGCGTTCTCAACATCGCCATCCACCTCGTACTCGCCACCTCTTGCGTCTCCGTTACGCTGCCGAGTAAATCCTTCCAATACTGTTGTGCTCAACTGTTTCCTCCGGTCCATCCGGTGGTGTAGTCTTCGTCCTTTATTGGGACTAATCTCGCCGCGGCGTAGTGTCTCCGCTACTACCGCACTAAAGCCAGCCGAGATGGTCGGCAGAAGAGGACCAGGTGAGAATTTTGAAAAGGAGTTGCGTAGATGCCGAGCGGGCGGCGTCTGCGGGACAATCGCTTTCCGAACGTTCGACTGAGTCCGTCCATGTCCCGAAGTTGGGCCTGCCGACTCATCCTCGGCACCAGGAGCAGGGGGGAAACGAAGGAGAAAGGGTGAATCGTGTGCTGTAAGCTCCGACTGCGCCGGGGGTGTAGAAGGGCGATGGATCGGTGGTTCAGTATTGGGAGTTTGGATGGCCGACTCTAGAGAGTCTGCCCATGGGTTCGTCAAAAGCGAACGAGCATGCATAGGCGAGGAAGGCTCCGAGGAAGGTTCTTCAAGCAACTCAGCGGTCAGCGAGCCGCGTGGGGAAGATGGCGCAGCCGATAAGACGCCCCTAGGTGTCCGCTGGTCGTCATCCACGTCTTCGATGCCCTGACTAAGGAGGGACCCCGAAGGAGACTGAAGATGATCACCTGCCGGGGTACGAGCTTTTCGTCCTGCCTTCTGGGCCCGGGCTTGTGGAGCAGGGGGGGATAGATCGACCCTATCTTGATAACGGTCGGCGCCCAACAAGCCGATAGCCTCCTCTTCGTCGTCGATGGAGAAGGTAGACTCGTTGTCTGCGCGTACACGGCCGCTGGTAATACAGTAGACCCCCATAAACGTTAAGACACAACCACCCACAAATTTGCATGCACGCTCAGCTGTGTAGGACTCGAAGTCCCGATACAGGACAGCGCTTCCGGTGATCACGGAGAGAGTGAAAAGCACAAACTGTGTTGGAATGACTTGAGTCGAGTCAAACCGTTGCAGAGCTCGGTTGATGTACCGGATCTGCATAAGAGCACTGAAAACAAGGACGAAGACTAAGAGATAGGTGACTGGGAATGTAATGACGTGCCAAAGTGTAAACGATAGCAGGGATGAGACACCTTTGGTCGACAAAGCAGTATATCCACCTAGTCAAACAGTAAGCAACGATCCACCAGAATATCATTAAAGGGACCATGTGTACGTACCAAACAATGCCACCAAGCCGACATCGATCAGGATCGATCGCGATCCATACTTGCCGCTTGCCCACATGAGCCCGACAATAAGCGCAGCGGAAACACCCAAGTACAACTCAAACTCCCAGCGCGTAATCATCTCCCAGATATCATGGGGGCCGATCTTCTCTTCCGACGAATTTGCGCTGAGGACAACCACCACCGCTCCCGCGATCGCGATAAGAACTCCCCACAGGTCACGCTGTCTGAATTTCTCCTTCAGCATGAATGGCGCAATAACGCAATTGGATATAAGGGCAACAACGCCGAGCGGTGACACAATAGACGCCGGAGCAAATCCATAGGCCATGAAATTCCCGACCTCGCCAAGTGACATGAGCACGATTCCCACCCACCAGTACGGCGACCGAAGATACGATTTGCGGCGCAAACGCTCACTCCCCGACCGCGCAGTCCGGTCGGATACCATGGAGTCCTGCATATGATCCTGTGAGTCTGTCTCGTCGTCCCTGTAACGACGGGTTCGTCCGGAATGGCCGCGGGGTTCTTCATAATGATCGGGCTCAGACGTAGGAGATTCATCCCGGTAACGACCCGGTCGAGACGCACGATGTCTTCCTCGACTTGCGTCTCCGTCGAAGTCCTCGCCATCGATAGATCCATACGCGCCAGAGTTGTCATGTCCATGGTTCGCACGCTTCCAATCCAACTCGTGTCTCAACTTGTCCTGCTCCCACTCCTTATCGATACGAATGTGAGCATAGCGCTGGATGTTGAGCGCCAGGGAAATCAACACATTGCCCGCCAGCGCAGTCACAATTCCAATCAAGGAGGACCATTCGTGCATTCCTCCGCCACTTCCACCATCGCCATTGTCAGACCCGGGACTGGACGTGAACGTCGGAGAAGGCTGGGACGAGGAGGGGAAGTAGTGATACGGTGTGGGTGTCGGCGTAGGAACAGCGGAGGAGGCGAGCGCGGTGAGCAGGCCTGCTGCCAGGGGCACCTCTTGCAAGTAAGCCATCCGCAATAGGAGGTTGACTCAAGGGTATGCCGGGCGCAGGTAGGCCTGATTAAAAGGCGAGCGCGGGAGTGAAAAGGAGGTCCCGACTGATCCGCCGCTATAAGGTTGTAGGATTGCGGAAAGCCTCCGATGTCGACAAACCGGCACGAAAACTGGCGGCCGACTGACTGTAACGAAGGGTAGTCTTCCGGTAGTCGTCACAGCATATATTCCTTCAGATTGTTGGCATCAGCTTCTTGGGGGGCAGGGGTTCATGCTGCTGTGAGCCACGACATTCTGTATCCCCTAAGTGACAAAAACCAAGCTCGGGAGTCTTCGTTCACCAGCGAAAGGGAAGAGACTCCGAAAGGCACCACAAGCAGTAAAATGAGTGCAGACGCTCGTCATCCGCGAGCGAGGACCGACAGTGGTTAAGTGCACGGATGTAGAGAATAAGATTGGGGGGAGGAGGGATGGGGGGATTCTGGGAGAGAGAGAGAGATGCCGAGAGAACCGGCGAGAGAGACTAGTCGCAGTCCCTAAACTCGGGCCTAAAATCCTTGGATACGACCAGTTCGCACGTGCGAGCCTGCTCAAGTTGGGAGAGTAAGAAATACCACGTATAAGCGCAGCATCGCGTGAGGTTTGCTGGGCAATCAAAGCCGGACAGGCTGCAGTAGTAGATTATCGAGGAGCCCGCGGCAGTCGTGGAATCATTGGCTTGCTCGCCTCCTCCAGATCAACGTCGAGTGGACGATCCGGAGAATGGACGACTTGCACATCCTGGCCCACCCACCAGCCCCTTCAACGTCATCGAGCAGGCTGTCCATGCCGCAAGTACACTTTCTACACAGCGGAATACACTTACTCGTTATGCACGATTATGTCTTACAGTTTCACAAGATTTACTGCCATAGGGTATCTCTGTTGTTTGTCTAACTCCGTTTAGAGGGCGGATGATTATTAACCCACTTTATCTGCCACGAAAGTTCATCACGCTCAACGCCGCCCTTGCTCCAAAAGTATACTGTGTACATGTCCTGAATCATGGCAGAGAGCGAATGGAACCGATTTTGATAATTTCCGATCGGTCGCAACACCTCACCGCTTTGCCCGCTTCTTATCCGGCCCCTGCTCGTTCTCATCATCGCTAATATCCCGGTAGATCGGCGTGGGCTGCGTCTCCTTCCACGCCTTGGTGAAGATTGGGTCCTTCTCAGCCTTGTCCGCATACTTAAGCAGAGCTTCCCGGGGATCCTCATCCCGCATCGAACTGAGAGGAATGTTCTCGCGAATATGCTTCTCATCCGGCTGCGATTTCGCAAAGGGTGTTTGTGCTGGTAGATGGGGTCTCCGTGGATCTCTTGGACGGCCTGACGCCGTGAGTCCGATGGTCGGGTGCCGGGCGGACCAGGTGGATGAACTGTAATGAGGCACCCCGTTGGACCCGACAACCACAGAGTCGCCAGAAATCCCCTGGGTGAGGTCCATGGTAAGGCTTGGGTCATCATCGATGTGTCGACGTTTCGGTGCCTTGGACATGATCAAGGCGGCACCCTTGGTAGACATATTAGGATTGTAAAGAACATGAGTTTCGGCGTTGGCCGAGCCGGTAATGATCTGGTTCATCTTCTCATGCCACAAAACACTGATAACGGGCGATCCTGGCGTAACGGGCGTGACCAGTTCCGGTTTCAATGTAGCTGGGTTCAAGATATGCAGGTGTCCAGTTTCCGAGCCCGTGAGAACATTAGCGGATGTAGGCGAGAATATAATATTCGACGACGGATACCGCGTGCTGGAAGGATGGGCGACCGTGGTGATAGGTTGCTTGAACTTTCTAGTATCCCATAGCTTAATAGTGTCATCTCCGCCCTTGGTAATAACAAGCCGTCCATCCGAGCTGATGTCGATGCCACTCGTCCAAGTGTCCTTGGTATGGGCATCTCTAATCTCTGCGCTTGGCCGAGTGTACGGCCCATTTCCGCTCCACATGAGCAAACTACCATCGAGCGCAGCAGCAACGAGAACATTAGGGCCACCCTGCTTGGGTGAACCCCATGCGACAGCGGTCATTTTGCTCCGACCAGCGGAACCCGCCATCTTTGATTTGTGCACAATAACCTCCTTCTGTGACCGACCGACATTGGCATCCCAGATGCGCACAGTACTATCTGTTCCTGCCGTGGCACAGAGATTCTCGTCGGTTGGACACCACACGCCGCCAGTCACCTCAGAGATATGACCCTTGGTGTTATGGAGATCCCTCAAATACATATCACCCTTCACAAATTCGGTAATCGTATCACCATCGCGGCTCAAAATCCTTGGCTGGGGTGTGGCCGAAACAACCATGACGTAGCTGGGGGACAAGGGATTGAAAGCTGCATAATGCACGGCATGCGCCTCCTGCGCAGCAGACTGCTTTTTGGCTGAAGGATCGACGGATTTGAATGCGCGTATGGTCGACGGGGTCATCGACGCAAAGTCGTGTAGCTTTATAGTACAATCGGTCGAGCCGGTGATCAGTCGCGAACCTGCGGGATCCACGGTCAACGTAGTCACTGCGCGGTCGTGTGTCTTGAGAACGAGTTCATGAGACACCGGGAACTCATCCTCATCGTCGGAATCGTCATCGGAGTCGTCGCTTCCATCATCACTCTCTGAATCGTTTTTCTGGTTCTCTTCCTCCGCCGCGGGCGTCGCCTCAGTCGTCGCCTCTCCTGTTATACCCGCTTTTTTGTCGTCGCCATCAGGGTTCACAGAGACTTCTGCGCGCTTGGTGCGATCAATCTGCGAGCTGACATCGGTTTTCTTTTCTTGCTTGCCAAAGCTAGTCGGAAAGAACTTCTTGAATGCCTCCTCGTCAAATCCGTCCATTATGGCAGCTGGTCTTGTGTCCTGGATGAAGTTTGGCGGAGATGACTTCAAATGCGATGGACGATGTCCTTATTGTTTGTAAGATTTGGCATATTTGCGCTGTTTGCGTAATGCTGTCACGTGGCGATAAGATTACACAGCCCTCGATAAGCAGTGGCTCGCGACGTCACCGGAGAATGGGTGAGACTGCTCCAGGTCAGCAGCATCTATAATACGCACGGACAGATAACATGCATGTGCAATTTTAAGGGCAGCGCCCGTGAAAACACTGCTTACAGGCCACCAAAGTGACCCGGTGCTACTATTGTAAAGATACACTAGGATAGATTCTTGACCTAATACCACCGCGCTACATCGGTTCAACTAGGGAAGATCTAAGTACAACATCGATATCTGCACGCCTACAAGTACAGTCCCTCCACTGGACCTCCGTCCTGCTTCGTCTTCATGATCCGCTCTCTGGCTGCGCGGAAGTCATCCATCTGCACCCGCATCCGGCGCTCTCTCAGCGCCATCAAACCAGCTTCAGTGCAGATAGCACGAATATCAGCACCAGAGAGATCATCCTTCTGGTTGATGAACTCGTCCAAGTCCACATCATCTCCGAGCGACATCTTGGAAGTGTGTAGGGTAAAGATCTTCTTCTTGGTGTTTTCTGTGTATGGTTAGCAATGTGGCACAAAGGCATAGTGCTGAAAGACTTACGGTCTGGGTTTTCGAAGAGAATCTTTCTGTCAATACGTCCCGGGCGGATCAAAGCAGGATCCAAGGTCTCAATCTTGTTGGTGGCCATGATGACCTTGACGTCACCGCGATCATCGAATCCATCAAGCTGGTTAAGAAGCTCAAGCATAGTACGCTGGATTTCTCGTTCACCACCCGACGTAGAATCATAACGCTTCGTACCAATCGCATCGATTTCATCAATGAAAACAATGGAGGGTGCGTGCTCAGCTGCAACCTGGAAGATTTGACGGACCAGACGAGGGCCATCTCCAAGGTACTTCTGAATCAGCTCACTACCAACGATACGGAGGAAAGTAGCACTGGTTTGGTTCGCGACAGCCTTGGCCAGAAGCGTCTTTCCGGTACCAGGGGCACCGTAAAGAATGACACCCTTGGGTGGCTTGATACCCATCTCCTCGTACAGCTCCGGGTGGAGCAAAGGAAGCTCCACAGACTCCCGGACTTCCTGGATCTGGGTTTCCAGACCACCAATATCGGCATATGATTCTGTGGGAGCTTTGTCGAGCTTCATCACTGATACGAGGGGGTCGGATTCTTCGGTGAGCACACCGACAACCGAGACCGACTTGTGGTGTAGAAGAATGCTAGCACCAGGCTCGAGAAGGTCCTTGTCAACGAACGACATGATCGAAACATAGTATTCCGGTCCAGTCGCGCTCGAAACGATGGCGTGGTCATCGTCAATCAGCTCTTCCAGGTTTCCGACACCCATGGGGCTGCCTCTCATGTCATCAACCCGGCTTCTCTCATCGGCGTTCCGATCCATGATGTCGAGATCATTACGGTTCGCCGAATCCAGCGCAGCCTGAGCCTTGGTCTTGCGCAGGCGTTCCATATTCTCCACGTACTCTTCCTCTAGCAACAAATGGTCGTGGACTCGTTGCATTCGGAGGTATCGTAATTTACATCGTGACGTTGGGAAGATGTCTGGAAGCTTGGAGGCAGTACTCGGGCCGGCAGCCTTGCGCTTCTTACGTCCGAGACGAGTCGTAGGCGGCGGAGGAGGTTCGTATCTGGGCTTGTCCTTCTGCAGAGAAGCGTAACGTAAGCCGGCTGCTACCTGACAAGAAGATCACGGAGAGTATAGCATACCTTCTTGTCCTTCTCATCTCTTCCATCGCCACCGGGGCCTCCGCCGATGTTGGACTGCTGGTTACCCTGTGATGAAGATTGGTCAGATAAGTGACATCAGGAGCCGACAAGAGCTGTCAACAAGGGCCAACGCCGGGCACCAACCATAGTCCGAAACTGTGAGAAGCAGTAGGCTTCTTATAGACAACCTATGCAGGGGTCTGGGGAATGTAACGAAGGAATTCGCGATGTGCGTGGATGGGGTGAAGAGATGGGGATGGGTGAAGGAGGATGGGGACGTGAAGCTGATGCGTTGCGCAGCTGGGAAGCTGTTGGTCGCCATCCGCTCGGGCCTTGGCGCCCGTCCAGCACATTTGGTGGCACGTGACGTGATCCGACATGGAAATACATGCCTTAGTGCCTGAGGTGCTGGTGGCCGATCCCTGAGGCATCTCCCGCAAGCCCCTCTTGGGATCCTCCGCCCAGAAGCCAAAAGTAGTCTGGCGCCAACCGAGCTGGGCCCGATCTGTACAAGATGTACTGGCAGCTCAGCTCTACTCCGAACCGTCCAGGTAGCCCGACGGGTCATTTCCCCTATATTGCTTCTATAACTTGTTCCTTATTTTTTTCCTGCGGAACATATATTTCCGCTGTCATTCATACATATTCTAGCCGATCCCATCCCGTGTCAGGGTTCGACGAAATTCCTGTGATCTAATCTTGTTCGATTGTTTAGCGCTCTTCCGTGATAGAGCGCTTACTTGCGCCCCGCCGAGAGCATTGATCCCCTCACTTTCGCCCATACTACAACAATCCTCTCTAGTCCACTCCCACCAGGTTAGGTGACCGCTGTTACAGATCAGTCGTTGGTCTCCAGCGTTTGTATTAATTGCACCTGCTCCAATACTTTCTTCTTGTCCTCAACCTCCCTGCTACAGACCACCTGCTGCACTTCCTCGCCCTCTCGGTACTTGGCTACTGTGAGGCTGACGAAGCTTTGACTATTGCCTCATAGTTCTTAGATCTTTTCTATTCTTATCCTTCAGCTGCTCAGACACTCCAAACCCACTTTTTTTTTATTCTTCAGAAAAGAAAAAATAAACACAAGCTGCCCGCTTTCCCGAGATTGTTCTTACGATGTCTGGCAATCGTGCGAGGCGTATCGCCAAAGAGATCGCCGACATTCACGCCGACACACAGTCGCAAATCACGGCTGAGCCACTGCACGGTGGTGAGGATCTCACGCATCTTCGGGGCACGTTCCCAGGGCCTCCAGGAACACCCTACGAAGGTGGCACCTATACCATCGACATCAAAATCCCCAACGATTATCCATTTCGGCCTCCCCATATGAAGTTTGTGACCAAGGTCTGGCATCCTAACGTTAGCAGTCAAACAGTGAGTCGCTCCAGTCATGTAAGGTTAGGTTAACCCCAGGTTTGCTAATGAAATGACTTGCCTAGGGTGCCATCTGCCTAGACACTCTTTCTACTGCGTGGTCACCGGTGCTCACCATCAAGTCTGCCCTTCTCTCACTGCAATCCCTGCTCAGCACCCCCGAACCCAAGGATCCTCAGGATGCCGAGGTCGCCACGATGCTCCTTCGGAGACCGCAGGAATTTGCACGGGTTGCTCAGGAGTGGGCTGTGATGTATGCAGGAGCTCCCAGAAGGCATGCAGGTGAAGGCAGTGGCGGTGTGACAGACGAAACTCTTCGACTACAGGAAATCAAGTCGAAAGAGGAGCAGGAACAAGAGGATTTAAGCAAGTATGTACACGTGCGTAGGACCAAACCTGCTCTGGCTAACCTTTCCGTGCAGATACGACGGCTACAACAAAGACTTGATCGACCGATTCTGTAACATGGGATTTGACGTTGACCGCGTTGTAGCCGCATTCAAATACTATGGCATTGATCGAATGGACGGGGAAGATTACGAGCTGGAGGAGGCGTACATGGGAGATATCACGGCGCGGCTCCTTGGTGAGCCGTAGTTGGGGTGATGTGTTTGACACACGGTTCGGATAGTTTAGATTTTGCAATAGCGACGGTGCTAGGCGATTCAGTCGGGTTTGCTCTCTTGAATCTTGAGACCTCTTCGCACAAACTTCATCAAGACAGTTTTCTTTCTCTATTCTCAAGTCAGAACCCAGGCTGTGATGACCCATGTTTAATATATCCATTCGCTTTCTACATCTTTCGGCAGCATAGCTCAAGTCAGGATACTATTAGCCTTGCATTAATTCACTCAATACTTGTATGACTGAAGGTACAGTGCCTTTCAAATGAAATAATATCTCTTTCTCTTTTATATGATCCAGGCAATCAGCAAACTGCAGTGGAGGTCTAATGGACGGAAGTACAGGCAGCGGGCCTATCGATAAGCACGTGGATATGCGGCAAAGTCCGCTGCAGATCAGCTTTGACTTTCCGCCGTCCCCAGAATCCTCGCGCAACAAGCACTTCCATCATTAGCTACGCATTTCGCGACAGTGAACTCACTATATAGCTGTCTTCCAACATGATCGAAGACGAAATATACCGGTCGTCCTCCCAGTTCCGACTGTGGTCCTTCACCGAAGCATCACTGAAGCAGTTACGAGCAACCACCAACTCCGTCGCGAGTGACCGAGTGCGAGCAGCTCTACGAAGGGCACAAGACGCCCGAAGATCAGCCACCTCCTCCACCACAGGGACACCAGCTCCCGGAAGTGATGCGGAGAATAAAGCAGCAGAAGAGAAGCAGATTGAGTGCTTGACTCCCGAAGAAGAGCAACAAGTGGTGGACTACTACTCCGAACAAATCATACAACTAGGAGAGAACTACAAACCACCACTTCCCACCATCGTGAGAGTACGAGCTTCCCCCCTACCCCATATCCCAGTCCCTCAAATCTCCCTCCCAATACTAACATACCCAACCCAACTCATAGGCCACCGCAATCCAATACCTCCGTCGCTTCTACCTCACCAACTCCCCGATGACCTACCACCCGAAACAAATCATGCCGTGCGCCCTCTTCCTCGCCACCAAAACCGACAACTACTACCTCTCCCTACGACAATTCGCCGAAGGCGTCCCCGGCCAAACCTCCGCCGACGACATCATCGCCCCAGAATTCCTCGTCATGCAAAGTCTCCGCTTCACCTTCGACGTGCGCCACCCCTTCCGCGGCCTAGAAGGCGGCATCATGGAACTCCGCGCCATATCCCAAGGCCAAGGCCAACCAGCACCACACCTCCAACCCTCCCAAACACCAGAAGACCTCCGCAGAGCTCTCCTCTCCCTTTCCCCTTCCTCCGCCACTGCAAACACCATGAACGACCGCATCTCCCGCGCCCACCACTCCACCCGCGAGATCCTCAAAGCCGCCGCCCAAATCACAGACGCCTACTTCCTCTACACCCCAGCCCAGATCTGGCTCTCGGCATTCCTCCTCGCCGATCGCCCGTTGGCTGAATTCTACCTCGACACGAAACTAGGCGGTCCCATCATATCATCATCTAACCATGACCAAAACCCCCTGTACGCCCTGCGCACGAAACTCCTCACCACCCTCGCAAACTGCTCCGCCCTCCTCCAAGCATACAAACCCTTCGCGTCCGACGAAGCCCGCATGAAGACCCTGAAACGCATCGTCGGCAAGAAACTTTACCATTGCCAGAATCCAGAGAAGGCCAATATCGCAGGCCAGAAACGCATCCCGGCCGCAGCCGCAGCCGCAGCCGCAGCAGCGGCAGCAGGCGAGTCAGGGACATCAGAAAGCGAAATGGAGCGTCTAGCAAAAAAGCGGAAGCTAGAGCGGGGAAATGAGACGACGAAAGATCTCTTCGGAGGGGAATTAGTCACGCAAAGGACGAAGGAGAGGCAGATGGAGGGTGATCAGCAGCAGCAATAGCAGCAATAAATAGCAGTAATAATGAACCTTATGGTTCAAGTATACTTTCTACACTATAGTTGTTATTATTATTGTTAGCTTTTTGGGGCGACGACGTCGGTGTATCGTTGTTTTGAGCGTGCAGATAGGCGCAATAGATGGAAAAGCATGTTATTGTCTTAGTTCTTCTTCATATTCAAAAAGAAAGTGAGTTAGGTGTTTCAGTTAGACCTGACAAATTATACTGTATATTGGAACATGTACTAAGTAGTCGACCTCTTAATAACTACTTATGCGTCCAGGCTTATATATTACGTACTAGTATAGTTACTGTAAGTAGGTACGACCACCTGGGTGAGTGTACATACTACCACCATTGGGCTCGGAGACCTTAATAGTTCAGGTATATGATGTATTTAGAGTTACGACACGAGGGAAACCATCCTACATGGGTATATATATATGTCTACGAAACTCTGGAAGTAAGTATAGCAAGGGAATAATATCAAATTGAAACCCTCAAACGCTCAAGTCTAGTTAGGTGGGGGGGAGTGACGATGAAGGTATGAAAAGATGAAACACAGACCATCTAAAACAAAGCACCCAAATGTGTAGTGGTAGTAATGAGCAAAGATATCTCCAGGTATTTTGAAAAAAAGGAAAAATAGTAGAAAAAACGGATAACCTTCCGCGCGAATGTCATTCATCAGGATGGTTCATCTCTCCTGTAACGGTAAAGAGAAACTTTTTTCCTTCCCCTTACAAGCCTTTTTTATATTTGCATGTGTGTGTCGTCTCGAACATTCCAATCATAAACAAGAAGATTATTCACTTCTTCCTTCTTTTTCAGTGGTTTGTACTTTAGACAGCACCCTCGGAGATCATCTTCTTGCGGAGGTGGTTCTTGTACTCGCCGATAGTACCGTTCCAGCGGGTGACGGTCTTGTTCTCGCAGACCATGATGTCCTTGGCGATCTTGTCAAGAAGACGGAAGTCGTGGGACACGACGACAACACCACCGCTGAAAGCGTTGATGGCATCGGCCAAACTGTCAATGGTGGGGATATCCAGACCGTTGGTAGGCTCGTCCAGCAGGATCATGTTAGGCGACTCGATAGCCAACAGGGCGAAGACGATACGAGACTTCTGACCCTCGGACAGAGTACCCATGAGGGCAGTCTGGGACTCACCGCTGAGACCGTAACGGCCCAGCTGCTGACGCCAGTACTGGTAGTCCTGAGACTTCTCGGGGAACTTGTCACGGACGAACTCGAGGGCAGACTTGGTCAGATCCAGCTGCTCAGCAGAGTGCTGACTGTACATGCCCAGCTTCAAGTGAGTGTGACGGGAGACACGGCCACCAATGGGGCTCAGCTTGCCGGTCATGATGCGCAGCAGAGTGGACTTTCCGACACCGTTGGGTCCGACAAGGGCTGTGCGGGAGTCCATGTCGACACCGAAGTCGAGGTGCTCGTACAGGGTGTCCTCCCACTTGCCAGAGTAGGAGAAAGAGACGTCGTCGAAAGACAGGACGGGAGGAGGAAGCTTCTCGACATCGGCGAAGCGGAAGCTGAAGACTCTGTCGGGGATGACGGGCTGGATGAAACCATCGGCCTCCATCTTGTCCAGGATCTTCTGACGGGACTTGGCCTGTCTGACCAAGTTGGCGTAGGTACCGGCGGAAGCAATGAACTTCTTGATGTGAGCAATTTCTTCCTGCTGCTTGTTGTAGGCCTTCATCTGGTTCGTCTCCTGTTCGGCACGAGTCTTGTGGTAAGAGTCGTAGTTACCACCGTAGTAGAGGAGCTGCTTCATGCGCATGTCGATCATGTTGGTGCAGACACCGTTGAGGAAATCCATGGAGTGGGAGACGAGGATCAGGGTACGCTCCCACTTCTTGAGGTATTCTTCCAACCACACACAGGCCTCGAGATCCAAGTGAGCAGTGGGGTCGTCGAGCAGAAGCAGGGAGGGCTTGACGAAGAGGGCCTTGGCAAGGGCCACACGCATACGCCAACCACCAGACATGTCCTTGGTCTTCTTGTGGATGGTCTGCTTGTTGAAACCCAGACCGGTCAAGATCAGGGAGGCACGGGTGTGGAAGGTCGAGGGATCCATCTTGTCCATACGCTGCAGAAGAGGTTAGAACAGAGCAAAGAGGGATGAAGAGGTGGAGAGGGGAAAACTCACGTCGTACAGATCCTCGAGGATAGGAGAGTCAGGACCCTCCTTCTCAAGAATTTCTTCGGCCTGCTTCTCCATGCGTTCGAGCTGGTTCTGGGCCTCGGTGACAACCCACTCAAGGGCACCGAGCTCACTGGGAGGAGCACCCTCGTTCAGAAGGTAGATATCAATGTGCTCGGGGATGGGGTATTCGCGGGTGGCGATAGACTTGAGGATAGTAGACTTTCCGCAACCGTTCTCACCGAGGAGACCGTAACGACGACCGAAGTTCAGTTCGAGAGTCGAGTCGGTGATAAGAACCTTTCCGTGGAACACCAGGGAGGCGGAAGTGACCTTGACGTCGCGGGAGGAGGGCAGAGAAGCAAGGACACCGGTCGTGACACGATCGGAGAGACCGTGCTTGTCCATCTGAGCAGTCAACTTCTCGACCTCCTTCATCTTCTCATCAGTGGTGGCAGGCTGGTCATCGCCGCCCTCACCGTCGACGACGGGGTCGTCCTTCTTGCCCTTGGTGGGCTTCTTCTTGTCGGCGCCATCGGCGGCACGCTTTGCCAAACGAGCGGCTTTGGAGGCAGACACCATCTTGTCGAATAAGCGAGTGGTTGATGGGATGGGAGGAGAGGAGAGAGGAGAGGAGGGGGAGGTGGTGGTGGGTAGGTAAGGCGGAAAGGGAAGAGGAAGGGACGGTCAGGAAGCCTAGATAAAAGCTGTCCGATGAAGGCGAGAGAGAAAAGGGAAAAAAAGAACCTGAGCGAAAGGTGGACCAGTAATAGCGGGGGGTGGGAGGGGGGCGACCGAAAGTCTTCTTGTGAGTGGGGGGTGGTTCCTTGGATAGCCCTTATCGATAGGCTGGCCAGGCAAAAAAAGAAGACAAGTGATCGAATGAGATCACTCTTACAAAAAAGATGGGGGTCTCAAAGGGACCCAATAGATGAAAAGATGGATTGATATATATGAGCAGATATACTACTCAGACTCAATACACAAGGGAGAATCCCGTTGAAGTTGAAGGAAAAGAAGAATCGACAACGAAGAATCGATGAATGGATGGTTGTTTTTGCCTCGAAAATTCCTTCAGTGGGCGGCTGAGCCTCGCGCTGATTGGCTGCACGACGTCACTGCACGGGACGTGGCGCACGCTTGCCGCTTTGGGCATCCACAGTCACGTGTGTCAGAGCCTTGCGCCCAAGGCAGGCAAAGATAATGGTCAGCAGTACTCCACCAGACAGTTAAGTTATAGAAGATGAGTAACTATGAATCATTTCAACATACGGGATTAACCAACGCAAGGGAAGTAGCCCCCTACATGACACCTTTGCCATATGTAGAAAACATGCCCAGCAGCAAGTCATAAAGAAGCAAATGAAATCACCATCGTGAATCGCCATATTCGACTTGATTCGTAATTGGCTGGAGCCTCTGTCGCGCATAGTAGTACTACTAACTGGCCATGCCCAGCCAACCTACTTTCAGCCTCATCTACAAATATCCAAACTTAGTCTTTTATTCTCTGTTGCACGACATGAATTACTGTTATTAATTGGTCGGAAACCTTTTCCCGGGCTTTTTTGGTTTCAAGCCAGGCAAGTTCCGACCTCTAGTATTATGTATGTCTATAACCGTTCGCTAATTCTTTTCAGCACTGCCATCTCCTGCTCCGTAACCGTGATGTTGTCTGGTAACATGACACTCCCCTTTTCAATAACAATATGGGTCGGAACGCCGGGAAAGGTATCGTGAGATTGAACGGACGCAACACTTCCCTCTTTGGCCTCCCGGGCGCTTTCGGTGTCGTCGGGCTTGGGTCGTTCTAAAGACTGCGGCGTCCACCAGTAGATAGGGAAGCGACGTTGAATGTTGTTGATAAACAAGGCCACTGCCTGCATGAGCACACAGCCCAGCAGCATAATAAGGATTAAGTACCATCCCACATCATAGGATTGTGTGACGGCAAGGAGGGCGGTGGCGCCGGCAGGGGGATGGACCGTGTTTGTGATTGTCATGATGGCCGTTGTGATGGCACACGCCAGAGCACCGCCGACTTGCGGCATAGAGTGGGCATTTTCGTTCAGCGCGAAGAGCTTGCCTATCACAACGCCGACAAAACTGGCAATAATCTGACTCAGGACGGCATTTCGTGGTTGGGCAAAGGGCGATTCGATGGCGGAGAATTCCAAGACAGCAGCAGCACCCTATGAGGTGGTTAGTCCACATCGAATAGTAGTAGTGGAGTCTGGGGGTTTCAAGAGGTACGTACAAAACTGGCCACGATGATTGGGGCATGGTGGGCTTTGAATGATGGGATATGTTCAGATACCTCCGCTACGACGAGCACACCACAGAAGACCCCGATCATAGACCAGAAGGCGATCACAAGATTCCCCAGGGGTTTCGGGGCGAGAGTCTTCCTGTACCCGAAGAACCGAGAGATCGGCCGAGGCAGATGGCGCCATGGTGGAGGCGGCAGATATGGGTTGAGAAAGGCATCGATGTCCACATGTAGTCGAGAGAAGTCGATGCGCTGGAGCATAGACGCTGACGGAGATTTCTGCGCACTCATCCTTCAGCACTGTCGGTAACCAGCCCGGACAGTCTTAAAGCACGCAACACGGCTCGCCACCCTGATGTATATAAAGTCAGATACAGCCGTCAAATATGGAAAAGCAGGCCATTGAACATGGAAAACACCACGAATGAAGAGGCAGCCAAGCACACACATTCGAGGAGAAATGACAGACGCAAATTTTGGCCTATGGCCATGCATTGACACCCATCAAGCGACCAGGCATCAGTTTGATTAAATGGAGTCCCGACGGGTCCATGTCAGGGGGGCCGCGAGGACAAAAACCTACCTTGGACTACGTGGATTGACAGGAGGTGACAGAGAAGCTAAATATAAACCGAGAAATCCCATTGGAGGTTTGAAACAGACGAAGAGCGAGTGGACAAGGCCATTATGGGGTTCCTCGAGATTAAAATACTAAGATGGGGCCATCCGGCCAGCACTGAGGAGAGCTGGAAAAGTCGGCACGCAAAACGAGGTCTCCTACATTGTAACCATGAGGATCTCCGCGGAAGCGGGTAGTCAGAGGGCGAGAATGCAGTGCTGAGTTGGAGATGGTCATTGATGCCCTGGAAAGAGAGGGACAGAGGCCCTTTTGCTGGCTGGTCCAAGGGATCTTTCTGCCACTCATGATATTCGCGTTGGGTAATGGAAACTCCGGTTTCAGTTTAGCGTCGGGGCAGCTGACGATGAGGTCACTTGTCTGTAATATTACGCCGACTGTTACCCGAGCCTGGTTGTGTTTTCCTTCAAATTCTCCCTGTTTCATGGACACCTGATGGTATCGGGATTTCAGACCGCGTAACATACCTCATTCCCGCCCAGACTTGAGTAATCGTCGATCAATCTGGGGTCCCCAAAAACATGGCGCCGGCGAACCCTCGCGCCTTTTCCTCGTAAACCCCGTTGTGAGGGGAAATGAGGGGGAATTGGAGACACTGTTGAGACCGGACTGTATAGGGGTGTTTACCCTTGGAGTAGTTCTCTGTACAATGATCGAAGACTCGCCTGCAGCAAGTGGAGCACACTACGGAGTAAATATTTAGTAACAGTGAGGATCACTGCGGCATCTATTCCTCCTAAGAGAATCACTAGCTGAAGGCTTCACACTGTCACTTGTACAATACAAAATTAATTCTATCCATCATTAAATCATGACCCGTGAGAGGCACACTATTTATGCAAAATTTATACATCCAGGGTCTTTCCCTGCTTCGAGCTCTCCTGAGCCAATTCAATCAGCCGGATCACTTCACGAGCCTCGGCTCCGCTGGCTGGGAGATCACCCTCTCCACCAAGAGCCCGCGCCAGCTTCCGGTAGTATTCCGTCCAGGTCGGGGGCTCTACGGTGGGCATGACTTCCTTCACAGGCTTACCATCCTGGATGGTTGTGAGAGTACCTAGCGGACTGTCAGCATGCTGCCTGGTATCAAAGGGATTAATCTTTAGCTTACCGTATCTCTCAGAAGGCTCGCGACCATATCCGCTGTCACCTGGCTTCACACCAGACTTGAGCTGCTCTTCCTGGACATCGAGATGGAACTATCGGCGTGTACACATCAGTATTCTGATACCGAACGACACCTAGGGTAGAAGGCCGTTGTCTCACCTTCTTGAAGCTGCCCTTCTCACCACGAACCCAGAAGCGCAGTTGCTCCTCTTCCGGGCTGACGACACCAGCCTTGGCCGTGACAAGCACACCCTTGGGGTAGTGGAGCAGAACAGTGAAAGAGTCCTCAAAACCAGAAGTGTTGACCTCGCGCTGGGAACCAATGAATCCAGTCACGCGCTCCGGCTTGCCAAGCAGGTGCACGGCCTGGTCCAAGAGGTGGGCGCCCAGGTCATAGATGGCGCTACCACCGGGGATGACCTTGTTCTTCCACTTAGAAACATCGGGGGAGGGCTCCTGGGGACGGTGACGGTCGAAGTGAGTCTCGAACTCCACCACACGGCCAAGGGAGCCGTTCTTCACGAGCTTCGACAGGGTCACGAAATCGGCATCCCACCGGCGATCTACCAAAAATTATTATCAGACCATGTTCTTCCGGATTGGCGAATGGGTAATGGAACGTACTTTGGTATACGGCCAGGAGCTTGTTCTGCTTCTTAGCCAGAGCAACCAGCTCGTCGGCTTCCTGAGTGGTGGGGGTGAAGGGCTTCTCGCAGACAACTGTCGCAAGAAAATGTCAGCACTCATACGGAATTAACTACTACAAGTGGCTGTCTGGAAGCTTACCGTGCTTTCCATTTTCGAGGGCCAGCTTGGCCAAGGCGTAATGCGAATCGGGAGCGGTGGTGATGACCACCACCTGGACACCTTCATCCTTGACCATCTCCTCGGTGGTCCTGTAGGACTTGATTCCGGGGTGGTCCTTCTCGGCATCGTCATCGGGCTTGGGGGTGCGCTGCACAACAGCGGTGATCTTGAATTGAGGGACTTCCTGAATGAAGGGAATGTGGAAGGTCTTGGCACTGAAGCCATAACCCACAATTCCGACGTTCCAGGTCTTTGAAGCCATGATGGGTGGTGTTACTTGCGATGGGATGAGGGTATATCTTGAAGAGGATAGGGAGGACAGTGAACAATGGACAATGGGGAAACGGAGGGAATTCTCTGCTTATATACGCTATGGATATTCGTCTAAGGATTACAAATGGAGCAAACCCGCCTTATTTTCCCCCCCATGGCAACGAAGTGGCCATTTATGACTGCTGGCGCGGGGGAAGGTCCTGGCGACGGCAACCTTTGGGTCGGGCGGGGCACGCGGCAAAAGCCGATGTCTCAATGCGTCACTTTCAATTCTCGGAATTCATTCTGCGCTCTCGCCGATGCTTCATTGAGGCCACTCGGTCCAGCCTTTGCAGGTAGCCATCAAGAAATAATTCTCTCAACTTCTATCCTTGGGACCCTTTCATTCTTGGATCCCCACACATCGGCTCACCTCGATTGCGTCCTACAGAATTTGCATGTCAGTGAAATGCCTACCACCCCTCACCCCTCACTCACTCCCCCCGGAAATACGGGTGAAACTCACTCGTGTGGTCTCGGGTTTGACCAATTTGCTCTCATACACCAGATTCGGGTTTCCGGTCAGTTCAAAGCTGGGAGTTGCATCCGCAGGCATGAATGACCCGACTGATCGCTGTGGCAGGCTGGTTGTGTCATATGTCTGGACCGGTCCCTTTTTGGCCGCTTCACGCTTCTGCTCCACTGTGCTGCGGACATACTCCAAATACGGCGGGTTGCCGGGGTAGAGCACGTTGTCCGCCACCACTACTGAAACCCCGGGCACGATCTTGCCGAGCTGCTCGCAGAGCTTCAGATCGGCGGTATACGCAGGCTTATAGTGATCAATAAGCATCACTTCAACCTGTTTGACATCGCCACTCGAGAAAAGTTTGTCAAGGGACAAATCGCTCCGACCAACGAGTATCGTAACAAAGTCGCGCAGGCCCGCCAGCTCAAGCAGCATATTCGCAATGGCCGCAAATTCGGGATTCAACTCTAGACTGTAATAGTGCCGTCCGCCAGCCCGACGCACGGCATCTCCGAACAGAATGGCCGAATAGCCAACATAGCCACCAAGCTCGATCATCACTTCGGGCTTCTTTTCCTCGATGATGTCGATGATGAATTTGCCCTTGGCCCGACCGATGTTCATGAAGTGGTACGTTTTACCGAACTCTTCGATCAGATCCAGGACCTTGGCAGGGTTGCCCTGGATCTCATCACGGTTCGGTTGGTCGTAGATGAAGTGAAGCAACTTCAGCTCTCGACCTTCCTCACGCTGTCAAGCAGTCATTTGTCAGGGTATAAACCCACCGTATCGGGGTTACGGCGCAAGCTTACCGAACGTTCCACAGGAGGAGGGTTAGAAGGGGCTTCGGGGGTAGCACTATCACCCATGATCGATAACAGGCGCTGCGTGAAAGGAGAAGGAGGCTGGTAAGATCTAGGGATAGTAAATGGAGAGCGTGGACATCGAAGCCACGTTCGAGGGACAGCAGGATACTTAAGAGCGCCGAAAGACGCGCGGACTAGTCGACTCGGCACCGACTTGGACCTTTGTAGCTGATAATGCCGATATGTCGCCATCCGGCTGTGGGCCACACGCATGATGATCGCATCATGATTTCCATGGAATGATAGGAGCAAATAAGCGAAGCTATTCCATCCCTTGTGGCGGACGCAAGAGTGCACGACATCGCATATTCCGGGCAGTCGGAGATGGTTACCACATCGGTCCAGGCAGGTGTGGTCCCGGTTCCCGCGTTAATTCGTCACAGGATACTTAGCTGCCATCTGATAAGGTTTCACCCCTCATCTGGCTTATCGAGAAAAGCAACTCTGCGTCGGGATGTGTCTCCTCATCTCGGTGACTCCGATGGCAAGGCCAAAAGGTCCATATGGGCGCGGGTCATGTGTGGTGTGTGGGGGGCGCAGAATAGGAACAGGGAGACAATGCAAGTACCCTTTCAACAATGCAAACGTGGAGGGCGTACCCTTGGTCGAGACTTATATGATACGACCCAGTTCCGCATGAATTCAGTCCCGTGCTCAACCTCGAAGCTTAAATCTCATTGAAAAGAACATGATCCCATAGAGCGGCGTTATTGAGGGGTGATGGTATTAATGCACTCGCTCTGAATCTGAAACCCGACCCGATTCAAGAGACGCCACGACCCACGTTTACATCTCCACTGTGGTCGGATCGCATTGAACCTGCTAGGCTGATACTACCTGTGTGATGCCGATCCAACTTTTTCCAAGTAGCTAAGCTCCACCATAGAATAGGTTCGAGGCTTGTTCATAGGGCAGTCGCCTTGTATACGAAGATGCCATGGTAAAGTGCTTGGAAAGAGCTCCGTACCGGATCTACCCCTTCGTCCGCATCCGCCGCCGGCCATGGAATCTCCGACGGACGATCGGAAATGTCACTGTGCAGTTACTGCATTAGGTAGGTTGCGAGCGGCATTCAGCTGCTTTACTTCTGCTTTTGATGCATCTGGCTACATGTTCCCTGATCCACTAAATGGTGTCCCGGGATGTGGTGAGAACCAAGGAACACTTTCCCGGCAGTAGTAGTAGTAACCGAAGACGCGGTAGTTAGTAGCTAGCTAGCTAGTTACGTGTAGATCTGCACTTCAGCTAGCGACTACCTAATTATTCTATCTATTCTGAGTACCTCACGAGATCTAGTGCATTTCTCAACTGCTTACTTTTATCTGCATGCATGACACATACAATGACCTCAACGAACCAATAATGCAACTCTTCCTCACAATGGCATAACATGAAACGAAACCGAAACTGAAACCCAATGAGCAGCTGCATGCACCACACAAGCACATCCCGCCCAGCATTAAATTGGGTATCCATCTACCGATTCTTATCTACCTACTGCGTACTGGACAACTTACATGGCAGGACTAGCTACTCTCCGTAGCAAGGCAAGGAATGCCGCAACCGTAGCCAAGCAGCTACCCTACCTAACCTCGGCCGCACCCATCCAATCAATTCCTACTTGCACTGCAACCCTACAATCGCATGCAAGTCTCAGACACCAACCAGCCCAGCCCGAGGCAAAAAAAAAGTGAAATCCGCATATTGCTTTTTCTTTCCAATAGGCTCCGTCCGCATCCCCCACTTTGCGATGTGGAAACCATAAGATAGACGGACAGCTGTTTAGCTAGTCAGTTAGTTAGCTAGCTGGCAGTCCCAGCCACCTCACTCACTCACTTACTTTGACACTCGGCATCAGCAGCAACCCAACACATCTCTCTCCTAGCTACTAGTCTACTAGTCTACTATCTATCTACCTATCTATCTATCCAGCACCACCCGCCTCGCATCACAAATGCGTATCCTATGCTGACGTGGTCGCCTTGCAGCATTCCACACACACACAGAGACGCACATTACATTTGCATTCGCGCGACACATGCTACGGAATACATAATATAGGGAGAATTTCCGCCCGTGGGTACTCCGCAGAGGCCATCTTTATTTTCATTTCTCTTCTTCAGTTTGGGTTTCTTTTTTGGTGCTTTCGGGGTATACTATACTATACAACAATAACCCCACTTTACCTGCTAACTAATTAAACTAATCCCCGAACTTATCCATATACCAACTGAAGACAATAAAAAGAACTAAATAAAAATACACCAAGATGACAGTCGGCCACCCTTTTCGCCTCCGCCGCGCCCTCACAACCAAATCCCGCTCCCTGCAAACTCCCCGATGCTCTCTCCTCCAAATTCAGGTCCTAGTGCACTTGTTCCGCGTCGCTATCTCCCTCGCTCTCCTCCCGCTTGACAACACCATCCTCCTCGCTGCCTACGCAGCTGGCTACTTCCCCTTCTCCCTAACAGACAGCAACAAAACCGGTGCCCGTCGCCGCGCTGCCGCCCTCCGTGACAGCCAATTCAAGCCGCGGACTGTCCTCGTCACTGGTATCGACACTACGTATGGACTGGCCATCGCGCGCGGGTGGTATTACTCCGGCCATCGGGTTATTGGGGCCGAAGTGGTGGGCGGGGATGACCAGTCGGGCGTGGCGTGCGGGGAGAGTATGTCCCGGGTACTGAGCGGGTATTATCGCATTACCACTGGTGTCCCTGGCGGTACTACGAAAGGCTACGCAGCGCAGATACTGGATGTTGTGATGAAAGAGAAAGTGGACGTCTGGATCCCGTGCAGCGAGGAGACCGAAGGGGAAGAAGATGCCGTCGCGAAGGGGGTGATTGAGGCGCGGACGGAGTGTAAGTGCGTCACACTTGATCGGGGGATGGCGGATATACTCTCCCAATCCTCATCGGACCGGGAAGCCTTCCTGGCATTCCTGGTCGAGAAGGGATTACCTGTTGTGGAGAGACACGAGGTGTTGTCTCGGGATGCGGTACACAAGATTCTCCATCGGTCGCCGACCAAGGTGTGGAATATGCGGAGGGCGGATGATCGCGAGGTGATGCTGCCGAAACGGACTCTTAGTCTGACCTATTCCGAGGTTAGTCAGATTCGCATCTCCAGGGAGAGGCCGTGGATGTTGCAGCAACAGACCAGGTTGGGAGGGTTTTATGCCGAGATGGCGGTCGTCGCCGGGAAGGTCAAGGCAACTAAGATCTACCCCGCTGAGGAGGATGGGGATGGTGGCTGGGGCCAGTCACCGATGGACCGCGGGCTCGCGACGGCGATTCAGGCGCTGATGGAGCGGTTCGCGAGCCAGATGGGTGCCCGGTTGACAGGGCATCTGCGATTGAAGGTAATGGTGGATGAGGAGGTGAGCGACAATTGTCTGCGGTATGTGATACTGATTGATAGCTGCACGCATGGCGCGTCGGCGGTCAAGTATCTCATCCTGGAGGATGATCTGAAGTCCTTGGTGGATGGGTATTTGGAAGCATTGACACCGCAGACAAATGGTGTAGCCGAGGTGAACGGCACAGCGAATGCTGCGCCTGCGTCTGCATCTGCATCCTCAAAGCCCGATATCACTCCGCCTCCTCCGCGTCGACGATTCAGTCTGTTTCGCTCTGCGAAGAAAGCCAATGTGAAGGTGTTTGGATCGCTGGGGAAACAGGTCGATCGTGCCCTTAACGAGGGCAGTAAGCTCCTGTTCTTCTGGAAAAACCAGAAGTTCTCCCAGCTGGATCCCTTGCCTTGGTGGTGGCATGCTCATGTCTATCAGCCGTTGAGGGAGCTGGAAATGATTGTGAAGCCGAAGAGGGTGAAGAGGGCGTGATTACATACACTCCTTCATTCATCCGTTCATTCTCTTTCTTCTGATTATTACCTTTTGTTCGTTGGTTATTTCCTTTGTTCCACTCAGCATGGATGGACGGAAGGACGGGAACCACAGGACAGGACAGGACACGATGGGACACGATGTTACGATTACTCGGTTATATAAAGGAGCATTGAGTGGCGCCTTGGGATATTAGTTTGTTATTGCACTTTTTATATCATTATGACTCCTTTCTTTGAATTTTATTCAAGTATACTCAATTGTAAGAAGTGATTTTTTTCCCTTACTTTTTTTTCTTAAATTTAAGAGATAGTTATAACAACATGTTTAAGATTTCAATATTTTTTACTTGCAGTATAGTTTTTCCGGGAGTTAAAATTCAATTTTAGTCTCAGTATTATTCAGCCGCAAGATAATATATGGAAATATTATAGATGTCTTGTAATACAAATAGAAATAATCTTTTCATAAATATAACTTTTCAGAGTTTTAGCATACTACGAAGTCTAAGTTTTTGTACTCTGATTATCTCTCTGGTGAGAAGCCTGCCGAACTTTTCTTAGTACTGTACTCATCTAAATATTCATTGTAGAATAATTCGTACATATGAAGAGATCAGAGATTTAAACTAACAGACTACCCATCTTACTATTGTGTTCCCTTCTACGAGTATTCTGGTTGACTCGAATCTCTTTGAAGTGATAACTAGGCGTGCTTCTGAGGCTTCAAAAACTACCCTTCTGCGGAAATAATACATGACATTTGCGGCTGCGCCCTCGGCGCGACCTAAGTGAACCAGGGAGGCCTGGGGAACAGACGCAACGCGGGAATTACGCTCCTTCCAAATACTTCTACGGCTATTGTTATGGGACCATGGTGAGGATCTGGAAGGATACCGGGAATTTACATCCAGAGTCCATCTCTGGCACAACGGCATCCAAACACGATACTGTAGTTGGCGCTTGATTTTATCTCTGTATGAATGCAACATGATATATCAGAGCAGTTTTAAGCAGCTACCCCGCATATACATTTCATTAAGCATAAGACGACTGTCGTCTTCCCACCGGCGGTCGTTTTGGGGGAGGTTCTGGGGAAGGCGACCGGCGACGTCGTGGGTGCCGTCTCGTATTTACCATTGCAAAACTGACAGGAAACCCCGGAAGCATTGAGGGTGACACTATCTCACCGGTGGTAACAATGACCCTCAGGTTTGGATACGCTCGCGCCAATATCGAAAGCGCGCGTGTAATATCGTCATCCTTCTCATTCGGATCGGCCACGCAGAGGTCTAGGCGGTCGATGATGATCAGAACAGATTTCAGCACAGCTACAACCGAATTCAGGAGACGATAGAGGGCGTCGAATTTTGTTGCCCGTCGGAAAGACCGGGCATTGAATATGCCTGGTCGTAAGACGGTCAGTTCTGGGTGATCGATTAATAACTGGGCGATCAACTGTCGGAGAAGCTGTGCTGGTGTCCATTTCACACCATTCGGTCGATCACACATGGCAATCATTATGTCCTGTCCTTGAGATCGGCACACACTGACTACATCTATGGTAAACTCGGTGAGCCAGGATTGTCGCCCGTTGCTCTGCGATGATACCCAGAGAATTGAATTCTCCGAAGTGTCGCAATGCTCACGCCAATCTGCAAGGCAGGGCAAAATCCCATTCTGACTCCAGTGATCGCGCATGTCCGTGGAGAAACGTAGTGATTGCCAGAGTTGATGTTCGTGCTCGACGTCGCCAACGTCGTCGTGCCAGATGTCGATGAGGTCTGAAGCGTACCGCCGGCCTTGAACTGAAGTTTGAAAATTCAGCATTCATGATCAAGGATACTAAGTTAAAGAGATAACGAGCTTACTACCGCGAGACATTTCAATTTGGAGGCGAAGATGGCGGATCTCTGGTGTCCATTTAGCTTTTTCACGTAACTTGAACCAACCCAGGTCATTTACCAGAATGTAAAACATCCAGGTAGCCTTTGATGTCCTTTTGCTCCGCCATATGCCCCAATTCACAAAGTGCCTTGAGTCGCGTGGTCGACTTCTTGATGTTGTCGAGGTACGTGGGAAAATCATACTTGGTGCGCGGGAGTATAGCATCGGTTAATTGCTCTGTTCATGATTAGTCGTCATCTATTCGCTCAGATGCTTGCAACTCCATACTGAAGAAGCCAATAGAATAGTACTTGGCTAGCCTCCAAAGAAGGTCGACGGTATGTATGTAAAACTGGGACAAAGTTTCTTTCATCTCATCCGTTGGGAACATGTCGCCGTAGGCTTGCAGCGTAGGGATCTCGTCAGAGAGCGAGGTTATCAGGCCAAAAACCAATTCCTTTTTTTCTTTCCTGCTAGACACACCCTATTGTCACATGTCAGACACACCAACGACCTTTAACATCTAAGAACAAACCTTGAATACCATCCACAAACAGGCATATGGCACGGAGCATTCTGGGCTTTGAGGAACAAATATGTCCACAATAGGCTTGATTAACGTGGCAACTCTAATCACGTCGTCGGCGAAGCCCGAGACCTTGTGCCGCCATGCTGATTCGGATGTCTTCCTTGTATTGATTCTTAATCTCTCTTTTGCAATGAGGTTTTGCACCCACGAGGCATCATACCGTCCGGGCGGTTTGAGTCGGACCGGCATACTCTCGACAGTTTTCGACGACGCCACAAGATCACATTGGTCGTCCCACCATGGTTGAGAGTTTAATTGTTCATTGACCTCCTTGCACTTTTGCAGTGCATTGTCATATATCTGACTACACATGAACACGATCAGTGAGAGACGTTCAACCATTGTCATGGACTTGACCCACTCATCATTGCTTGATCCCGGCTGATACCAATGACTCCATGGTGATTTCTCCCCACAATTGGGGTCACGGTTGTGGGTTTGTACGTCGGTGGGAGGTTGGAACTTCCAATCCATGCCTATAACTAATTTGCTGGAAAAAGGGACATAGCAGCTATCTCACTATATGGAGCTCTGGAAGAGCTTTATCTCGAAACAATATGTACTTCGGTACCTCGCTCGTGAGACAAAGGCCGATGATAAGAAGGAGAGCTGCTGCAGGCTCGAAATATCGACGTGGAGCGAGCGAAGAAGAGAGCGCGTGGGGGCTATGGCTTGCTCAGCCCCGTACCCCACCCCAGCCACGTCAACGAACATCAGCTGTGAAATTGATTGAGACTTAACACCTGGAGATATTGATTGTCACTCTGCCATACGGCAAAGGTCTCATCTACAAGCAGGGAGCCTCCGGTCAGGGGCCATAATGTCATTGCAAGAAAATCACGGACGTCCCCAGCGGGGCTTGAGCTCCAGTATTCCATCGCGATTCCGCACCATCGAACCGGAGGAAATACGACCCCAGCGCCGTATCTATATCGATCACGACAGCGATTTCTCCGATGAAGAGGAACAGATCAACGAGAGAGGCAATATGAGCGAGGGGACCACTGCTGTTTCCTATGTCATCGGCTCTGACGGAACAAAAAGGGTAGAGATACATTCCAAGCCCCTCGTCGAGGCGCTCGGTCGAGCAACCAAGGATTCCACCCGCAGAGGACCCGCAGACTTCTTCACTGAGAGCGAGCCATTTCCCACCCTCTTCTACCATATGGAGGATATAAGGGAGGAGATTGCGAAGTCCGATGATCAAGATGCTTCGCTCGATCTTGAGGCTTTGGAACAGGTCGCAGCTGAAATGGCACCATGGTGGCACAAGGCATGCGCCGAAACCTTTGAGTCAGGGTTTGTCAGCTACGATATGCTGTGGAAACTGTTCCAGACCGGAGAATCTGTTCTTCATGAGGATGAAATTGGCTGTCTATGGCAGTTCATCTTCATTGATATAACCTATCATAGCGCGCAGCGGCAGCGGCGCCGGCCCCTGAAAGAACAATGTGCGGCCTTCACAGTGTGGGGCCTAAAGTGGGACAATGTCGAGCAGCAGTAATACTTCCAGGGTGTTCTATTCCTGACTTCAAATCGTGTTAGCACGATGGACGTGGCATTTCAGTCCCGCATCCAAATTGGAATTTCCTTCAGGGAAATGACCCCCGCCACCCGCGCGCAGATCTGGGAACGACTGCTTTCCTTGAATGGCAGAGATAAAATGATTGGGCCAAGTGCAGTCCAAGATGTCAAGCATAGACTGGGAAAATTCCAGTTGAATGGCCGGCAAATACGAAACGTGCTGAATGTTGCGGATAGCCTTGCCTTCAACGAGTACGGGGTACCCGGGAAGTTGAAGTATAGACATATACAGGAGGCCGTGGAAACTGCTATGGAGTTCCAGAAGATGTTGGTCGAGTCAAAAAAGAGAATGAAGAACGAACAGACCGTCTGGGCCATGTATCGCGGTGACAATGACTTCTCTATCTAGTCACGAGTCAATGCAGCGCTGATGTGACGATATGTGCCTAGTTTGACCAGTGCCTGTTGTCACACCCGTACTTGTCTCAACAATACCGTGCAATTGTTTCTAGGTGCTGAAGTGGGACATTATCTGCCCTTGAAGGGGCATTCAACAGCGATGTAGGCAAACATCGCCCTTCGCTATTACCTCTGCATCAGAGCCTATGTTTCATTGTTGCCCATCGGACGCGCTCAAGATAAACTGTTCTCTCCGGTTCTTTGCAATTTGGCCAAATTTGATACAGTAGAGCCACATATCGCTCAAGCCACGTACCCTACCGGTTTCATTGCTCCGGTCAAGGACCAAGATTGCACTCCTAGCGTGAGCCTTTCCATTGATGGGCACACGGTAGGTGACAATCTATCCTGGTGTTACGCAGGGGGGAATGAGATATCAGCTGACCAGGGGCTAGTTAGTAGATTTGGCGACAGGGTCACACCAGTGGAAAGCAGACTCACGGCCCCATAATTCTGCAGATTATTCTATCAAGGAGCTAGACGTGTTCTAAGGGGTCCCTGAGAGCTGACCGAGGATGGATGGTGTACCATCACTGCCACTATCGGGCCCGGCTGGTTCGGTGGCGGCCTGGGAGCCCAGCGGAGACATGGTTTCTTGCGGCGATCAAGCACCAGAATTTTGTCCTCGGACAATAGTCCTACGCTGCATCTCGATATCCTAGTATGGAGATGCGACTTTCCTTTCCACTGAGCTCTTTCCCTAGCTATAAGGTGTGCAATCCATTCGTCATCTTATTTGTCCATTCTCCCAGATAGTAGCGTTTGTTGCCAGGGGGAGCAAATGTCGAACACGGCATGATGAAGTGACGGGAACCCACTTCTCTGCGCCTGCTTCACTGCTGTGGATATGGATAAATTATAGATATATGCCAAATTAGCGCATATAGAGCTGTTTTCATGATAACAGTATCTTAGCCTTATCGTTATACGGCTACTACTGCCGCTAGATTATGTGATTGGTCGTGCTGCTAAGTATGGATTGGGGGAATTATCGGTTATGAAAAAGCAAATTGTATTTGATTGTTTTGGTGGTTGTATACTTAGGTTTTTGGGTTCGTCGAGGGGCCATCGCTATGGGGTCTGGGTTATTCGGGTTGAATAGTAGTAGTACTACTAAGTAGTATAGGCATGTCCAAGTTGAGGATACTATCCGTGGTCTGGTAAGTGGAAATGTAGGTAAAGGAGGCTGTTAAATAGGGATAGAACATAGTAGGTAGTATGTGCAGGTAAGATAACTTCAAGTTAGGGATCCTAGTTATATAGTCTTGTATGGGAAGCACGTGGAGTACAAGCAATGGATGTACGTCATTGTACATCAGTGTAGCAGGAATGTAAGGCCATCATATGTAAGGCTGGTAGTTAGGCTGATATCTTCTCTATATTGATACTAATGTAGCGAGACTGAGTATATCTTTACTACTTACATGTGATGGCTTTCCTTCTACTGAAGTGACGAGATATATATACATGTTATATAACACGGTCCCAGTGTCTATTGAGAGTATGAAGTCACCTGAAATACGTCTTCACCTACTGAGAACACTCCATCAGAGCAGACTGCGTTATCACCGATACTATCTGGGTTATACTGTTCTATTATAGATCTTTCGTCTGCCACTGTTTGCTCCACTATCTTAGGTCGAGACGAACACAATTGTGATATTCGCAGACACGACTCTGTAGAGTGAGTGCATGCCAGCACATTATATCCTCTTCTATCTCCTAATACAGCTGCCTGAACTGCTCCCCATGACCTCCAGGTGAGCTGGTTGACTGGCATTCGTCAGCCTTGGAAGGCTCCCCGCAGGATTTCCGATTGGCCGACACAAACTTTATATGGAGGGCCTTCGGAACAGGTACGGTACCAACGAGGAATGTAAGCAACCGAGCTTCTTCCTCAACTCATATTGAGACGTCGACCAGACAACGGTATTCCGTAGAAGCCGGGAGCTGTGAGCCCAACATGGTGAATGTCAATCTAGATAGTGAGTGTATGGAGAAGTGTATGTCAGGTGCTGCTATTTCTGGCGGCCACTTCAGCCTAGGCTATAATTAGTCAAGCGGTAAGATCGGCATCCCAAGTTACGGTACCGTACCAAAGACTGAAGCTGAAGAGATGCTGCGCATTTCGCTTCAGCCACAATCATCTCATCTCATTCACATTCATCTGTCAGCTTTTTGGCCCCTTTCTCTTGCATCTTCCTTAATCTCTCCTCCTTCGAACAACTTGAATGATAAAAAATCATTTCGCTGCTATTGTTGTTGCGCTGCGGGTTCGCCAACGCTACCATTTGAAACCGCCCACTTTAGCGTCCGCGCGGCATTGATCGGGTTGCCCCGTTCACCTGGTCTTGGGTTTTTCGATCGCTATCGGCATAAACAATCCATTCCACCCCATCTCACGCCCCTCCACAACGCCCTTTGAGACGTCTGCCTCGACATACAGCGCATCATAAGTATCCTCGACTTGGTTCCTCACACAAAAGTCCGATCGCTCTATCCTCTCTTTCGCTTCCGTACAAGGAAGCGCCCTTTGTCGTCAGGCACCGTTCCCCGTCTTCCTTCCTTCTCCTCTTCCTCCTCCCACAATGAGAATCGCACGGCCTTCTTTCAACCCCGGGAGGACGAAAAACCTCATCCATGGGTTCCAGGGGTTCATCATCTTCCTGGCGTGGGCCCTGACCATCGCTGTTTTCACAAAAGGAGGTGGCATTGATGGGCGTTCCGCCTGGTACTTTGCTTTGGTACGTTGCGATAACTGAAATCCCCACACTTCTGGCCTGATGACATGTACTGATTCTCAATCATTCTAGTGCTGGTTCAGTATCCCCGGCCTGATCTACCTCGTGGCCGTGCCCATGTGGCCCCGCGCGCGACGCTTCGGAAACGTTTATGCCTTCGCAACCGTCGACTGCCTGTACGCCATTCTGTGGTTCTCTGCCTGGGTTTGTGTGGCTAGCTATGTGGCGGAGGGTAAGAGTAAGGGAAGTTCGGACTCTAGTTCCGACTCCAGTTCCAGCTCCAGCAGCAGTAGCTCGAGTTCGTCGAGCAGAAGGGATACTAGCAGCAGCAGCAGCAAAAGCGGATGCGATAACTGGGCCTACGGAAGCGCAAGTAAATGCAAGGTCAGCACAGCTACTGTGATTCTGGGCGTTGTTGTCTTGTGAGTATACCCATGGCATTCCCATTATCTGTGCTAATAATATAATAGCCTGCTCTTCTGCGTCACTGCCTTCATGTCCTTCCGCAATGTCTCGCATTTCCGCCGCACCGGAACCTTGCCCGACGCCGTCTCCGATCCCACCTTTGCCGCGCAGACAAAGGCTGCCTTTTCCTCGAACCCTGCCCATGATTTCGAGGAGGAAGAAGACGACTTCCGCTCCCGTGCTGGTATCGGCTCTTCTGTCCGTGGCGACAGGGACGAGGACTACGCTCTGCTGCAGCAGAGCGAGGTGGACGAGTTTGGAAACTCGCATGCAGCACGCTCGGCGCTGTCGGGCACATACGACCCGACGGTCTCTAGTGGAAGCGTGCTCCACGACTACAACACCAGCTATGGCGGTGCGCACGGCCAACATTACGGAGGAGCGTCCGAATTCGGATCCAGTGTTAGCGGCTATGGACGCTGAGCGTGGCTAGCGGTGGTTTTCTGCGTTTATCTCTTCGAAATGACCATGGAGCGGTGTTTGTGGGCGCACTCGTGCTGTATTATCTTTTTGATTGACTTTTTGCGTGAAGTTTCAACTGCCCATTTCTGTCTGCTGCTTCCACTGGTGATGACTGTATGCTGTGATTGGACGGGACAAGTCCCTTACGTGTTCGCATCGGACCTTATGTCTGCATGGTTATTGATGATCTGGATGACACTGTTGGACTATGACATAGATAGCATTGAGTGTAAATGTATATGGCTACGCCATTCTCCTATCAATTGCCTAAGCACCGCCATAGCAGGGTCTCAGAGTCCATGCAGGCTTGCTTTTTTCCACCCCTACTGCTGGATGACTGATTAATAGTCGAATCTTGACCTTGTCGATACTTTGATGTTATACCTACTATGCCTGGGCAGAGAACTACACCCTTCTTTATCCACCAGTACCCCAATCACAACATCCCCAATCAATCATCAGATTCTACAAGCCATGAACCATCCGGAATCATCTTCACCAAGAAACCGACCTCCAATAGACTCAGACCTCAACCTCATCTCCTACAATGGACTGTGTTTAACTTGCTTGCTTTTCGTCTGACTTGATTGGCTGATGTTTGGTTGCTGTGGATTCGCAACCGACGCTTTTCCTAGAAGGGCAGGTAGTAAGTGCATACAAAGATAAAGGGCAGCTGGTAGGTGTCTTCTCTGCTATGTAGGAACATTTATGTGGTTGGAGCGACGAGTTAGACTTTCTAACAGTTGGAATCGATGTACTGTTGCGCAGTATGGAACTATTGCCAGTACTATAGTAGTACTATAGTAGAGGGTATACCATAGAGCTCCGAATGAATGCATCAATTTCCGAGTATAGAGCGTACAGACTGTCCCATTGGAAGATAGAACGTGCCTATAGATCTCAGCTAGAACAAAGCTCGTGCAACTAGCCAAGCATTTAAAGAGACAAATCCATATCTCATCGAAGTCAAGAATGCGATACACTGCAATCTGCAAAACAATTACCCGGTCGCTGACCGCCACAAACCATTATGCCGGCAATTCAGTCACCGCCCCAGACTTATCGCAGGACTGGACAACTTGCGTCCAGCTTGCTTCTTCCTACAGTTCTGTCATCTCCCATACGCCTGTTCTTCAATCAATCAATCCAACAGGTCGTTCCCGCGTGTTCCCTAATAATATCTATATCTGAACGTGAGTCAATGAACCCTCCCAATATAATCGAAACCACTAACAACCGCCGCACAGACCATATTCTGGGTCACACCGAAATCTGAAACTACACACGATATCTAGATAGATAGGATCTAGCTATACGGTCTTCACACGACCACGAAAAATTATACCCACCACCCATAACTCTACACACACACACATATACACAGTCAAGAAGAAAGGTTACACAAAATGGCCTCCGTCGACCTCTTCACCGAATATCCCCTCCACCTGGACCCAACCAGCAAATCCATCTCCCTCAACACCACCAACACCACCACGCTCCCCACTTCCACCGCCACAATAACCACCGAACTTACACACCTCAACGCCCTGCACCGCTCGCTCATTTCCCTCGACCCGCCGAACATTCCCCCTCCCCCGCTCCCCATCAACCCCAAGCGCAGCGCCCAGATCACCAAGCTCCGCGACAGCGCCAACACCGCATACCGCAAGTCGAACCACGCCGAGGCGGTCCGTCTCTACACATACGCTATCGACATGGCGCTGGGCCGGCCCGGCTGGGAACCCGTCACGCTGGCGAGGGACGAGTTGGCGGGGTTGTATGCGAATCGGGCGCAGGCGTGGATGAGCCAGCGCGCGTGGCCGGAGGGGCTGGTCGATGCGAGATGTAGTGTTGAGAGTAAGCCTGTGGCGAATGTGAAGGCTTGGTGGAGGGGTGGGAGGTGTTTGGTGGAGATGGGGAGGTGGGAGGAGGCCAAGGGGATGGTTGAGAAGGGGTTGGAGATTGAGGGGAGGGTTAGTGAGGGTGGGAAGGAGCTTTTGGGGTTGTTGAGTGAGGTGGAGGAGGGGTTGAAGAGGAGTGGTAGTGCTTGATAGGGAGGTGTGTTGAATGAAGGATCAGTGGATGGGTGAATGTGGATATGTGAGAGGAGGGAGATGTGAATCGAGCTGGGATTCGATTATCGGAGTACATTATTACTTTTTTCATTATCATATGGCTTAATGGCGTTATGGTTGTATGAATATCATCATGCATTGATTGCGTTGTCTCCCATCGTTACTTACCTACTTAATCCCTTAGTGAATCCAATGTAGCAGATATTTGAACACAGTCTCCGAGCTATGACAGCTTCACCAAAGCTATCCCAAAACAGCCTAGCTGTATACATGCATACAAGGCTGAAACCCAATTAACTTAGCATGCACAAAAAATAAAATATGAAACAGAGACGATCAACCAAAAGCAAATCACAAAAACATGATATATGTACAAAAAGAATGAAATGGTATGAAAGAAAAAAGTATCTCCGATGCGGGGAATCGAACCCCGAGCTGCTGTGTGAGAGACAGCGATGTTAGCCATTACACCACATCGGACTTTGTTGAAAATTTGTGGTTCGGAGCAGAATATATTGGACTGGAGGGGGGTTTGTGGTGTGGTTCGAGTGGGGACGGTTACGGTTACGGTTGGTTTTGGTGGTGGTGGTGGTGGTGGGGCGGAGGGTAGGGCGGGAGGGGAGGTGAGTGAGGTCATTCATGTCTTGTTTCTCTTTGTGAGTGGTATTTATTTACTGTTTATCATAGAGAGCTTTATTTCTATTGTTTATAGTAGTCTTATAATGTATGTGTTGATTGGAAGGGATTTTTTTTTTTTGGTACTTAGTAAGTATGGGAGTAAGTATGGTCTTCATTAAGGTACTATACAGATCGAGAATATATATCTAGTAGTACTACTAGTCAGTTCAGCCTTTGTATGAGTAGTTAGTAGCACCACCAGTAACGTTAAAAGCAACTGACAGTACTGGTAGTACATAGAGACATCAAATCTTCTCCACCATCAGTTGTTGCTTTTCGAGCTGTTCTACTAGGAATTGCGTAGAGGGCAAAGACATCCACCCACCACACAAGAACTGCAATTCCCGTAGCGAAGTAGGGTAGTGACACTCCCCAGTAGACCAACCCCAGCTTTGGGCTGCCACACTGTCCAAGCCACCTCTGAACCCTGTTCTCTTTCATCACGGGCCATTATGGACCTCAGATCAAGATAGTTAAGACACCCGGAGAATCCCAGAGCCTCTGCGCATGTCTCCATGACCTGAAGGTCATCGGCGCCAGCGAGTGACGTGGGATGTTGAAATATCGTGTTGATGTTGACTGATTCAGCATTATGACAGGCCCAAGTCCGTTGGTTTCATTCCGTCCTTGAGTTTTCAGGACTGAGCATGATGAGTATTGATTCAAGCATCAGATCCTCAACAGCATTCGCTACAAATAAATAACCATTCATCTTCATATGATGGAGCAAAAGACCGTTTCCTGAGTCTGTCCTGTATTGATAGACAGATAACGTAATGTCCAGCATGAGGCACCGCAGAAGGATCTCGACAGCAACCAGCTGCCAGCGAAGCACTTTTCCGTGGTACTTTCCTTCCATTCTGACATGATCCGGATTTGTTATTCCCGACTTCTTCTGTCAGATTTGGCACTGCTATTCCACGGCATCCGACCCATTTTCTTCGGTATCTAGACGCTGCAGGCCTGTAGCATCGGTCGAATGAGTTCGTCAGACTTAGCACCGGGCTTCGCAGTCACTTCCGAGGTTTTCGGTCAATTAGTAGATACGGAAGTCGTACAACGCTCAAATCGTGGCGCTATTTAACGATTATTTGTAAGATGATGAGAGGAAGAACGAAAACGTTCCCAAGTTCCTGACAATAGGTCTCCCCGAATACCCAGCCCGCCTGGAGAGAGTTTCACACGGCCACAGCGTGGCTCGCAGGCTGAGTACTCTGCGCAGGATTGTCTCTTCCATCGTATGACACTGCGTTGTTTTCATCTCGACTCGTGATGTAGCAAGTAGTTGAGTTCAACGTAATTGCTGGGTGCGTAGAAGTCAGATCTTTGAGTTCACTGACAGCTACCAGATAGATCGAAATCGAGCCGGGTTGACCAGTCTTCGATATGTGTCCTTTCAGACCACATGTCTCGAACCATACGTCCTTCCAAAATCTTGTATACTGTATTGTAGATGAGATCAGAGAGCAAGCCGTGACCATCGAGTGCCTGTGTATCATAGTAATTCGACGTACTAGCTGTGCCAATACAGGGTCCCATAGAACCGGCATATCGGGGTGGCGAGAGACAACGGAAGCAGACCCAGGTGTACTGGCTGAATTGTCATCTATTTTGTTGGTTTCGTTGAGTTCTGCCGTGCTGTTGAGTGGCTGTTCATCTGCTGGTGTATAAGCTTCCCATACAAATTCATTTGGCCGATAGTAGGTACTAAAGAGCACCTACTGCTCGTTCTCAGCATTCGTATGGTTAGAGATAGTTTACACCGGGGTGCATGGCTGTTCTGATCGAGGGATGCTTAACTAGCATCTTATTTATATCCAGTCGCTGCTTCCATGTCGCCTTGTATGTAGGTGTATTGAACATAGTGTAGTAACTCAGCCGAACGAGGAGAGGTCAGTCTCACGTATCTGAAGCACGATGACGAACTCAATGGTAGAAAGTCTAGTGACAAGACTAAAGAAATAGAATGACACATGTATTGTCGAACAGTGATGCGTCTGTCCACCAACATGAGCAAGATCGGTACTGCATGCTGATAATTGCTTCCTGCCGCGGTAGTATAGAAGGCGTTGCACCTCTGTCTCACAGATTGCTTTCCAGCTCTCGACTGATGTCTTCTTAGAGAGCTCGAGTCTAGCTTTGCGATCGGCGTAAGCAGTCATCGATTGTATGGTGGCTTCAGCGATGGTTTGGCCATCATCGGTTGTGAATTTCCAAAAGGAGTTGCCCATTTTAGGTTTTAGAAAGACGGACTGAACAGGTCGCCGAGCTGCCGTCCCATCCAGTACTTCAAATTCCCATAACAGTGCCGCTCTTATACAGACGCCGGAACAAGGACGAGGTGGAGACTGCATGAAGGGAATTGTTTATGAGCATGGAAACAACCACCGGACCCAGCTGGCGGGGTTCAACAATCTATAGGCGTGTTGCAATTGCCGGCATTAGTTCGCGGCTTGCTTGAACCATTCGAGGCTTGCCAGTGTCCATCATCTCGAGTGGGACTCGTTGAAAAGGCGATGGTATCTTCATATAGAGAATATATGATGGCGCTGCGAAGTCGGGCTTCTCAGTGCTTGTTGATGCATACCTCCTCGCCTGGGAAATGCGTCCACCCAGTCAGTTCCTCTTCTTCAATGTTAGATTGATCGCGAAAAATGGGCAGCATGCTCAGCATTCTAAGAGTAGAAATCTCCAACCGAACGATCGAGTTTTATTTGAGTTGACAGTCCCACTCCTGAGAACATTGTGCCAGTAACCTCCACGCAACGATGATGGAAGGCTTTAGCCATCACTTTCTGCACCATAGTCTTCGTCAAAAGAACTTGTCTTGCATCGGGGGTTTACTTGTCGGTTTCAATTCTTGTTAGATATAGTGGAATATGTTTCGCGAGTAGGATTTCTCGATTTCATGAAGCCTGAACAGCCCCATCACAGATGAGCACCTCTAGCTTACTCACGTTCCATTGGAACAGCTTTGGGCTCAAGAATATGGTATCTGTGATTTTACTTCCCATTCCCAGCGGCCGACGATAACTGTCCTATCAGGGAACATATGAGAACTATCCTGGCCCATCCTCGTCACTGAATGCTTTTGATTTGTTGCACTATTGGCCGGTCATGATGGTCCGTGCGAATCTTGGTATGAAGAAAGCAGCAATTTTAGAAAACCTTCAAAGTTCCGTCTGTCATTGAAGAAAACGGTGGTGACGGTATGAAGACATGACGTTTGCGTTGATGTTCCTGTAAATGTGGGTCTTGATCATATTGTTGTGGGTATGTGGAGCTGCTCCTCATATTCTTTGGGGCAGAAGGCGACATGTAGATAAGTGGAACCGCGAAGAATGGAGAGTAGATGTCGAAATGAGTTCGACACCGGCAACAGCAGTTTAGTGCCGATGCATCGAAGAAACGCTAACGCATTGAACCTTCGAGATCGGGGCGATAGATCCCGAGAATGTGGTACTCCGGAAGCAGTACTCGTAAAGGAACAGCATCCTGCTGGATAAATGACCGACTATGTAGTGACAATGCTCGAACCCCTCAGATCGCTCATTTACCGAGAAGTAATGCTGCTAGTGTGCCTAGATAAGTTGCATGAGGACGTGTTCCACCCAATTGATAAGGAAGAAGAGCGCTCTAAGGCAGTGACTCATGCCGGAAGAGTCACTGGATGATGGCAATTGCGAGGCATGACGCAGGCAAATGAAAAGCATGAGTAGAAGAGACCCTGAGAGCAGAGAAAACGAGCAGAAATGGGTGGTTGAGGATATTCTAACAGGCTGCACGAAGAGAGAGCAATGGCGGCTCCATCAAGTACAGCCCAGCGAAACAAGTATGCCGATATATACTCCGGGGTAAGAGAAACAGCTCGTAATATCTGACAATATTCATCGGGACTTCACAGTTCGGATGCTGTAAACTTGATCGCTCCATGGGTTCGTGACACCTACGTCACTTCCATTGTTTCGGGACGCGGTAGTAAGGCCACACGACACTAGTAGCGGGTTTGAAGCAGGAGATACTTTGTGTCCATAGCACACCATGTTGCTGACTAGGTCGAACATAGATCGGCTCTGCTGCGATTGTTTCCAAAGTGTATGTAGGTGAGTCTTTAGGCCATTGCCCCATGATTTGCGGTATTACAATGAGGAATGTGTGGTTATCCCATGCTCTGTCTTTTTCAGCCGACTTCAAGATAGGTTTGTTCTGAGATGCAGTCTTTACCAATGCAACAACCCTGTAATTAATCGGTATTTCCTTATATTATTCTCGTCTCCATCAACCACATCATAAAATGGTGTTATGGTTGCAAGGCAAATGACGTCGTTGGTCCGTTGTTCGTAGCTATGCTGGTGCTTCGATCAGTCTGAGCCAATTCCTTAGACCCAGTGCCTTCAGGCAGACACCAAGGTACAGCCGGACGAGTGAGTCGTGGCCATTGAATGGACGGACTGACTCACGTCTGGGCGATACGCATTGCTCAAGCAGCTCATCATGACAAAGCTCAAAGCTCAATCCCAGCCGTCTTTGTCTTTGGGCACGCAGCAACCAGCATACAAGCCTGATTTTTCTCAAGAGTTCTTTGTCACTTCATGGCCTTGAAGCTGGATTATGTCGGAGTCTATGAGCTGGATGAGAAAGTCTGTTATTGTGTCCACGCCACCTTGCTCATCGACAGCCTCAGGGTAGTTGCAATGAGGCGATGAAGATTCCGGTAGCTCTGCATGCTTTCACTGATCATTTCGCTCCACCGCTGCACGCAGAAGATAGACTTGGTATCAGGAGCCAACAACCGTCAGCAAAAAAAGAAAAAGCGCACCCATGCGACATCAAAGTCATCGGTATTAGAAATTATTACTCCATATTGAGACGACCCTTCTTCGACGGATGAGACTTGGGCATTCATCTCAGCACGCCACAAAGCAGCTCTAATCTCAGAATGTAAAAAGCATTGGTAGAGCAACCTTGGCGAAAGACCAATACAGAGTTCTTCATTGTCAGGATTGAACTATAGTAGGCGTGTAGAGAAACGACGGACAGGGCTTTTGTTTGGTAGACCAAAAACCAAAAGGTTGCGTGCGTTCTTCCCAGACTTTTTGCCCTTGAGAGCCGTCTTGCCGGCACCGCTTAAAGTAGACCAGAGCAGCGCTAATGCAGTTCGCTGCCTTGTTCGTGGCATTTCCATATCAGCTGCGCATTCAAAGCATAAGCCATGATGAAGTAGAAAGCCATGAGGATATTCGCCCGGAAAGACAAAGCAGTCGAAGAAGTTGATTCAGCGATGATATGAAGTCGCCGATCTAGTTAATATAGCGACAATTTTCAAGCTCCAAGGACGGCGAGAGAACGAACAGTCTGGTCGGAGTCGAAGTCCACTGCTTCAGAGCAAAATTGTATTCAAAGCGTTTAAACAAAGACATCGTGCCTCGGCGGTTCTGAATATATCTTCATCATTTTTGAAGAAATCAGGCTCATGAACAGCGTAGTATATAAACCCCTAGTGCAGGTTGTTCAACCGGTAATCGCGCACCGTATGTGCTGTGTCGACAAGCAAAGCAAGTCTTATATAGACGAGACTAGAATGACCGGGTGAAAAGGTAAGGTATTTTCTATATAGGCTCTGTCATACAGAGTATCAATTGTGTCAAATCGATATGAATGTCACATCAACTTCGAAGGTTGGTGAGCAACTAGTGTTTATAAATCAGCCCATGTGACCTTCTTATTTGATCATGAAAGTGGAGGTGCTTAGCATACCATAAACGTGGTGACACCGTACGAGCTGGAACTTCAGTCGTATGCAATGCCCTGTGTTCTCTCTCCTCTAGGCCCATCAATAAGGAAGGATGTCTCTATCGTTCCTTTGCTGGTAAGAAAAGTAAACAATATCAGAAAAGCACAGTTAGGATGAACTACCAGATGACTGAGAAAGACCTCATAAGCCTTGGCTCATTGTAGTGCTGCAGCTAACGCTCCATGAGGTCAGACACCAACTGACGTTCATACCGTTATTCAAGCGTAGTACGCAGTGCAAATGACAATGCCACCGTCGAAAGCGTCATATCTATCGGGTGCTTTGCCACCTAGTTCAGCTTTGGAATTGTGATAGCCGATCAAAACTGTGTCAAACATCCCAATCGTTTGGGCATGAGGCTTTGTCCATCCTATGTCATCAACTTCAGGTTTGATCTCGGGAAGCTTAGCGATTTGGAGGTCATCGTTCTATAGCGATTTCTCCACGCACTTTGCCCGAGAAATTGGTAACCCCTCATGGCGCATTTTGAAAAGATCCTTCTTCTTAATCTGCTTGGAATATTGTGCGAAGTCTGAACGTGTGCAATTGCATAACGTGCAGCTGGACGGGTAACGAGTAGAATGTCCTGGGATTCCCCAGGAAGTAAACGTCCAACTAGGACAAATGGGCTCAAGCGCTGCTCAACAGCCAGCTAACCTTTGTGTAATAAAATAAACAGCCATATGAGACCGCAATTTATGCAGTATGCGATGGCTGAACAAGGATATAAAGATGCCATATTTGCTTTCAATTGCAAGGGGGCGTGCAAGTCTGCGGCAGCTTCAGTCCTCCCTTATTGTTGCAGGACACTGCAAGGTCTATTCAAGATCCTCCCACAATCTTGCTTGGCAGTCTGTTTGCCCCGTGAGGATGATGTGAACCACCCCAGTCACGTTGATTACTTGAAGAAAGTGTACTTTTCTCAACATGATCACTTGGCGGCATTGAAGCCTGGGCAGCCTCATTTGAACATCCTCAAGGACGCATGGTATACTGGGTCAATCGCATTTGAGATAACCCAAATATAAGCCCGAAGTCATTGTCTCACCACGCTTACTTAGAAACATTTGTTCGACGGCTTTCAAGATCAAATTCTGAAATCGGGCAACACAGAGCACTCTGAACCGCTGGATTTTCCCAAGTCCAGCCTTTGACCACGCTGATTATGGTTCCATAATACCTTGCCCAATCAGTCGGATAAGCGATAATGATGTGGGGAGATGAATGTATTCGAACGGGTGCTCAAAAGCGGGATATATAGCAGCAAAGGCAGAACTCATAGCGTTCAGCAGCTACCACACACCTGAACAAAAGCGGGTCGCCGTGAAGACCAGCCGACGCAAGACTTGTCATTGCGAGTGAACTTAAAAGCATCAGTCCACACAGGAAGAACCGTTGTTCAACGACGGACTAAGTGTTTCCTCAGCGATTAGCAAT